CTCTGATTTCTTCCGAAATCTTTTTAGATTTTCACGCTTCCACTCAAGCTAAGTCGTAGAAGTTGTAGAAACCAAGCTTAATATTGAATTTTGAGGAGGTGCTTAAAGGAAGAGCTTTGTTGAAGATATCAATAATTTATTGTTGTGTCAGGATGCAGCTTAGTTGTATAATTTCTCTATTCACTTTTTCATAGATGAAGTGTCTATCAACTTCAATATGCTTCGTCCTGTCATGAGGCATAGGATTCTTGACAATACTGATAGTTGCTTAAATATCACACAACATATGTATAGACTTATCGGAGTTATATCCCAGTTCACAACTTTTGAATTTATATCCCTTCACAAATTCCCAATGCAAGTGACCTATAGTCTGATTCTAAATTGCTTTTAGAAACAACTATTTGTTTCTTACTTCTCCATGTCACTAAATTTCCCCATACAGAAGCAATAACCTGTGGTGAATCTTCTGTAAAGGAGTTCCCTAGCCCAACTAGCATCAATGTAGACTTTCACCTCTTTGGTTCTGGTTTTTTTCAAAAATTAACCCGTAACCAAGAGTCTTCTTGAGAAACTCAAAATTTTGTACACCGCCTCCAAGTGCTCTTCATTTGGGCTATTCATGTGTTGGTTCAGAATATTGGCAGAGTGTGCAATATCTGATTCATATGTGACAGAAAGATAAGATTTTTTTACCAATCTTTAATATCTATCCTAATCCATAGTGCGGTTTCTTCTACTCTTCTTGATTGGTTGGCATCTATTTGAGCGTCATAGGCTTACATCTAATCATCCTTGTCTCCTTTAATAGATCCAGAATGTATTTCATTTGTGATATAATGATGCATTTCTTTAACCTTACTAACTCCATGCCTAAAAAATATCTCATGATTCCTAGGAAATTGATTTCAAACTATGAGGCAAGCACTTCTTTGATCTTGAGAATCTCTCTTTCATTATCACGAGTAAGAATCTTGTTATCCACATATACTATCAGTGCAACAATCTTACCTCCCCGAGTGTGTTTTACAAATAGAATTTGATTAACTTGACTTTGAGAATACCCATCATACCTCATAGTTTTAGCAAACCTTTCAAACAACTCACTTAGTGATTGCTTAAGCATATATAAAAACTTCTTGAGTTTGCATACTAGAAGTTTGTTGGAAAATTTCTCAAGTTATGGTGGTCTCTTCATATATACTTCTTCCAAATCTCCATTCATGAAGATATTTTTTTTGTCAAGTTGATGTAAACCAAAATCCTTCTTAACCGCTCCTGAAAAAGAACTCTGATAGTGTTAGTTTGACATTAGTATGAGGGTCTCCTGATAGTTGATCTATGGTGGTCTCTTCATATATACTTCTTCCAAATCTCCATTCATGAAGATATTTTTTTGTCATGTTGATGTAAACCACAATCCTTCTTAACCGCTACTGAAAAAGAATTCTGATAGTGTTAGTTTGACATTAGTACGAGGGTCTCCTGATAGTTGATTCCATATGCTTGAATGAAACCTTTCACAACAAGTTTGAATTTGAATCTCTCAAATACTTCCATCAACTTTATATTTGATGTCGAACACCTATTTGCACTGAATCAACTTCTTATCTTGAGAGAGTAGTAAGAATTCATGTATCATTATACTTTAGTGATCTATGCTTTTGAAAGGAAAAAGAAAGTATAAGGATTTTGGAAAAAGCAAGAAAATATTTATAGAATTTTACATGAAAATTATAGAAAAATAACGAATCATAAAGGATTAAATTCTAATTCAACTACTAACTCAACAAGATTAGATATTTTATTAATTTTTATTTATTTTTGTAGTTATCTTTCAAAGATACAATACAATCAAGAAATTAGATGTTTATTCAAATATTCCAAATACTTAGTTAGAAGAATCAAGTCAGAATGATGAAAGATGAAGTACGAAAAATATGTATGAACTCGATTAGAGGTCATACAAACTTGTTTGAGTCATCAAAAGTTTGCTCACAAATAGCTTGAACTTGTCAAGAGAATGAAGAACATTTTAGATTCAACTCTTCATAAGTACTCGTTCAAGGTCAAGTCTATTCGTCCAAGATCCGACATACTTGCTCAGGCTCACAAGCAACTCGCAAATTCAAATTGCTCTCTTTGCTCAATGCTCAAAGTACACTACCTCAAATTCTAGAGTCCGAGGAAGCATCAATCCCACCTTCTCAAAATGAGATGCCTCTACTTATTAATCAACAACGGGAGTTTAACATTCTTCTAACATTATACAATGCCAAATTTGCAACAAAAATGGCCATCCTGCAATCTCATGATGGCGCAGCTACATCATGAATTACTCCCCACCTAGCAAAGTTAATGTTGGCTTAGTTTATTCAAGAGCAACCTCACACTTGAATTTTAGCATTGAAAACATTTGGTCTCCAACTCATTATGATTGAACAAAGAATGACGATGAATATTCTATCCCAATCCTCAATTTGGGCTCAATATCCTTCCAAATCTTTACTTTGTCCCAAAACTTATCTCTAGCAACAACATCTTTACATCCTTTGATGCCCTGTAGCTTCCACAAGGATTTAACCACCTAACCGACTCTAATACATAGTTAATGTAGTAATGGTTTATATCCAATTTAAAATTCTAGCAATCATTATTTAGCTTGGAGCATGCTCCCCAAAGTATTCAACGTTGAACTCTGGCACAGTTATCAGGGCCACCCCACAACATAAACTCTATTACATTTATATAGCGTTTATATAGCATAATAAATTATGAATTCCCTCTAGTTCTTAGTTCTACACATTTAGTATTTGGATAAAAGCCACCATCTCCTATTTCCCCATAACACTAATGAAAAATATAAACCCCTTAATACATTTCAATGTATGAGGTCCAACTCCAATTATCTTTGGTCAACATTATAAATACTATGTCTCATTTATAGATGATTTGTCTCTTTTTTGCTAAATATTTCCTTTGTCAGTAAAATCTAAATTACTAAAATATTTTAAATATTTAAAACATGATGCAAAAGAAATCAATGCCTCTTCAACAGAGGTGGCGAATACAATAACTCCGACCTTTGAAAACTTCTCCTACATCATGCCATTTTAGAGCAAGTTACCCTTACATAATGGAACAATATGTTGTAATCGAACGAACATGGGCATCTAATCGAAACCATAAGAACACTTCTATTGCAAGGCCGGCTGCCAACCTATGATTTGTTGCTCATACCATTTTCACCCATTTAATTAATTATATGCCTTTCAAACCACTTAATATGAAATCCTCACATTATCTTCTATAAAAAAAACAAGGTTGTGCATCTCAAAGCCTTTCAGCAACTGCTTCCCTGACTCAATAACAAACTTGCTCCACAATTGTCGACGACTATCTTCATAGGAGAATGAAGACCCACCCCCCCCCCCCCCACCCCAACCCAACGCAACCCAACCCAACTCCCACCACTCATGCGCACGGCTCTTATTCAAACATTGATCTCTCAAAACCAATTTTAACAACAAATAGAAACTCACTTTTCTCAAACATAGAAAGCAAATGCATTCATCACTCAATGCACTACTACCCCTCTGTAATGCCCAACATCTCCTATCTTAGCTCAAACAGAGCCATTTAATTATTCACCAACACCTCTTTGAGTCCAACTCCCCGCCAGTCTGAGCCCAACTTCTCATCCAACGCTAAAACAACACAAAGAGGCCACCTAAAACTAAAACAAAACCTAAATATGTAACATAACAATCATCCTACTGCCAACCCCACTTTGCTTCACACAATGCGCCAAATAACTCAAATGGCGACAAGCAATGCCCTAGAAATTTGAAGCTCGCCTAAATTAAGGCACTTGAAACCTTATAACTGAAACTCGAAAAAAAAAATCCTAGGCTACCGCTGAACATTGGAAAAAAAAAAAACCTACATGGCACCATTGCTTGTCACAAAGCCTATTTTGTCATGCTAAGGCATCTTACATGAGCACTTGCTATTTGGAAAATTTTAGTCCGGTTACAAAGATGTTAACATCCTATATTATTTACCATTGCCATAATACACCATTGGAGTGTTCTCCAACTTATCTTTTCAAATTCGTTCCTCCAGAAAACTGAGCGAAACAGTCTATATGAAGTTAACTGCAGGTTCCATGGATCCATAAACTCCCAATCATGCTTGTCTCCTACAGAAGTCCATTTATGGACTCATGCTCCAATACAGTGGTTTTTTACTTTTCCAGGCTTTCTACAAACAAGTTTTTAAATTCAACCATCTTCTACTTTACAACAAAGGGCAAACATACAGCTACCTATTAATCTATATAGATGACATACCTGTAACTAGCCATTGTGATTCTGCTATCCAAGCTCCTCTCCAACAACTGCACTTTTAATTCCACTTGAAGTATGTATCCAACTTCCTTGGTTCCAGGTACCACCAAATAAAAATGGTCTCCTCTTCCATAAGAAAAAATATGCAAGTCAAGTAGTTCATAAATCTGAAATGGAAGATTGCAACGCTGCAGCTAATGCAATGCCTTCCAAGCTACCAAATGACTCTAACTCCCACTCAACTTTTGAAAAACCTTTCCACTGCCGGTTACCCAATCCGCTCTTTTCAATATCTAACCATTACCAAATCTGACATATCCTTTTTACCATCAATTATCCATGTCAATACTTGTATCACCCGTTTAATCGCCACTTCTTCTCAGCTATATCAAAAGACAACTCGATTTGGCTTACCTATTCACAGAGGCAATTTGTCTCTGCACTCCAACTCTAATTCTAACGGTCTACAAATGATTTTTATTAATTTATGGTATCCACTCATCATCTCTTGGAGTGTGAAAAAGCAACCGACAATTGCCCGTTCTTCCATGACAGTAGGATACCACGCACTCGCTGTAGCTAAGGTAGACATTATTGGCTCCAAAAGCTCATATAAGAATTCAATCTACCAATGCAACAACCCACTTCTCTCTATTGTGACAACATATCAACAATGGCCTTGCCAATAATTCTAACTTCCATGCTCACACCAAGCACGTCGAAATCTACTACAATTTCATAAGGAAGCATATTAATTATAAGAAAATCCAAGTTTCTGCATTCACACCCAAGAACAATCTCCAAATGCATTCACTAAAGGTTCCCGCACACGCAGATTTCAAAATCTCAGAGCCAATGTGCTACTCCATCAACATATTACCAACTTGAGTGGAGTCACAGAGCCTACTAATTCTCCAAGTTGCCCAGCCCAAAAAATAAGCAAATCTCTCCTGCTAATGGATTCACCACTACCTCTGCAACGGAGGAAATGGCACAGGAAAGGCTGCTAGAAAATGCATCTCTTAGAGTGTGAAAGATCAAAATCTTCTTTAAAAATAATATAAATCAAGCAAACTACCACCACATCCAAAGCGCATTAATAAAAATCAAAGCTCATGATAAAAGATGGGAAATACCTCAGGTTCACTCCGCCTTTAACCACGTATCTCGATACATTCTGACTAACCCAAACGTCCGCAGCAGCAGGAGAGGAGCTAAGAAGTGCTAGCATTTCGTTCGGGATCCCTACCATTACTTCGATGTTGCTCCCCATCAGCGCCCTAAGGACCGCAGGGTCAGTATCGAAGAGCTTAACTTTTCCAATCCTATTTTCCTTCATGAGATCTATAACAATGGAAGGTGACAGCCGGTGGGTGGAGAGCATCCCCCAATTCACGCCAATGTCCGCCTCAGCCGGCAGAAGAGCTCCTGCAAGGACGAGAAAAGCGAGAGCTAGGCTCAAATCTGCCGCGGCCATTTCTCATCCTCTTCGAATAATCATACAAAAATGGAAGATTTTGCGGCTTCTTTGTTCTCTGCGGACGGATTTTGTGAAGGTTTGGCTCACGGCAGTGCTATCAGTGGGAATTACCACGCCACTATATATACATATAATAATTTTTTTTAATTTAGTGATTCTTAAGCTAACAAGTTTAGTTTAGTTTACATACTTCATAGATGACACAGAACTTATTAAAATAAGTTAGCTATACTTGATTATATTAATTTAATGTAATTAATTTCTATTTTTTGCCTTTTTAATATACATAAATTTTATATTTTTATATGAGCTATTATAATTGCTTACTAGCGCGATTTTTTTCCAAGCAAAAAATACCAAATTTTTAACAACTTTTTTTAATATATTAATTTTTAAAAAATATTCTTAGTATTAATTAATAAATTATTTTATTGTTAAATAAATTAGTCTCCATTCTATTTATTGAATTCATTAAATTATTTACATGCAATTTTTTTATAAGATGGTGGTGAGACCTGCAATGCACTATGGCTCAAAATGTTGGCCTTTAAACGAGAATCATAAAACAAAGTTAAGTATAGTTGAGATGAGAATGCTTAGTTGGAAGACTGGCTTGACACTAAGAGACAAAATGAGAAATGGACATCCGTGAGACACTTGGGGAGACTTATCACAAGAATTTTTATCTAAATATTTCCCACCATTAAAAACTGTTAAGTTTAAAAGTGATATTATATCTTTTTGTCAGTTTGAAGGGGAATTAATTTATGAAGCGTGGGAAAGATTTAAAAAACTCATTAGGAAGTGTCCACACCATTCGTTGTCAGATTGGTTAATAATTCAAACTTTTTATAATGGATTGGTTGGATCTCTTAGATTGTCAATTGACGTTGTTACTGGTGGATCATTAATGTCAAAATCATTCGATGAAGCATATTCGTTAATTGAAGAGATGGCTACAAATAATTTTCAATGGCCCCTTAAAGGGTAAATCTAAAAAGAGTAGCTAATATTTATGACTATGATGCAATATCTATATTGGTTGCATAAATAGCTGCTATATCGAAGAAGATAGATTAATATGGGATGAATTATTCTCAAACACCACCTGTGCTTGAAGAAAACTCATTGGGAATGATAGAATCTCAATCTTCTTATGAGACTTTAAATACAATAAATAATCGTTCTAACAATCCTAAATAATGTTGCAAATCCGCAAAAGGGAACGATGTTGTGAACCCATTGGGAAACTTCAAATATCAAGGAAATCTAACTTATAAACCTTATTACCCTAAACCTTATTACCCTTCACCCTTCAGGTTTTAATAGTAATTTTCAGAGTAAGGAGAAGAAACTATTAATGGAAGAATTAATATTGCAAATGGGAAGTCAATTACAAAGCCAAGAAGTTGCAATTATAACATGAAAAATAAATTATGATGTATTGCTACTGCAATTAACAATAGACCTCCAGGAATGTTGCCTAGTAATGCTGAAGTGAATCCTAAAGATCTTTGAAGTAAATCCTAAAGATCAAAACAAAGAGAAATTAAGTCTATTCAACTGAGAAGTGGAAAAGAATTGAAAACCAAAGTTCAAAATGAAATGGAAACTGAAAAAAAGAAAGTGTATTCAGAAAAAGAAAAGGATCATAAAAAAATTCTGGTGAAGATTTTCATTTTGAGTCAGAATGACCTATCAAACCAATGAAACTTACTGTAGAAAGACCACTACCTCCATTTCCTCAAAGATTGAAGCAAAAAAACCAAGATAACCAGTTTTCAAAATTTTTGGAGATATTGAGGAAATTAACATAAACATTCTATTTGTTGAAACTTTGGAATAAATGCTAAGCTATGTGAAGTTTATGAATGACATACTTAACAAGAAAAGGAAGTTTATAGATAATGAAACAATTGCACATAGTAAGGAGTGTAGCGCTATAATTCAGACCAATGAAACTTACTGTAGAAAGACCACCACCTCCACCCCTACCTCTATTTCCTCAAAGATTGAAGCAGAAAAACCAAGATAACCAGTTTTCAAAATTTTTTGAGATATTGAGGAAATTAACTATAAACATTCCATTTGTTGAAGCTTTGGAACAAATGTTAAGCTATGTAAAGTTTATGAATGATATACTTAACAATAAAAGGAAGTTTATAGATAACGAAACAATTGCACCTAGTAAGGAGTGCAGCGTTATAATTCAGAAAAAGCTTCCTGAAAAGCTTAAAGATCCTGGTACTTTTACTATTACTTATACAATTAGCAAAAGATTTTTTTAGAAAAGCTTTATGTGATTTAAAAGCCAATATGAATCTTATGTCTTTATCAATTTTTAGAAGGTTGGGGACATTTCACCTACAACTGTAACTCTTCAGTTAGTTGATTGTTCGATTACCTGCCCTAAAAGAGTTATAGAAAATGTTTTAGTAAAGGTTGATAAATTTATTTTTCCTATGGACTTTATTGTATTATATATGAAAAAAGATAAAAAAATTCCTACCATTTTAGGAAGACCATTTCTTGTCACTACAAGAGCTTTGATAGTTGTGTAGAAAGAAGAACTAACTATGAGAGTTAGTGATCAAGAGGTTAAATTTAATATTGAAAAATCAATGAAATAACCTTTAAAAGAGCGAGATATTAAATGCTTCAAAATGGATATTAACGAATATTTAAGCCATAAATATTTCACGAAGACAATTGAAAAGAAAAATGAAAAAGAGTATTTGGAATATGAAGATGAGGAGAAAATTCAAGAGAAATCTATGGAAGTGAGTAATGAAGACTTGGATTATGTTTAGAAATAATTTGAAATGATAGATCCTAAAGATAATAATAAATATTTGATTTCATCTATTGAGAAACCTCCTGAACTAGAAATGAAAACACTTCCTACACATTTAAATTATGCATTTTTAGGAGATTTATTCACATTACCTAATATTGTATCCTCAGAATTAACTGATACGGAAGAAGAAAAGTTGTTGGAAACTTTAAGAAGATATAAGAAAGTCTTTGAATGGACATTAGTTGATATTAAAGGAATCAGTCCTTCAATTTTTATGCATATAATTTTATTGGAAGATCATCATGAACCAAGAGTTGATCCTCAAAGGAGATTGAACTCTATGATGAAAGTAGTTGTCAAGAAAGAGATTTTAAAATGGTTAGATGCTGGAATAATATATCATATTTCAGACAGTGCTTGGGTGAGTCCAATTCATTGTGTTCCAAAGAGAGGAGGTGTGACTGTTGTGACAAATGAGAATAATGAATTAATACCAACATGATAAGTCATTGGATGGTGAATCTGCATAGATTATAGAAAATTAAATTCATCCACCAGGAATGATCACTTTCCTTTACCCTTTTTGGACCATATATTGAATAGACTGGTTGGGCACAAAAATTTTTGCTTTCTAGATGGATATACCGGTTATCATTAAATACATATTGCTCCAGAGGTTCAAGAGAAAATAACGTTTACTAGTCCTTATGGAACTTTTGCTTTTGGCAAATGCCCTTTGGATTATGTAATGCACCTGCAACATTTTAAATATGTATGATGTTAATTTTCAATGATTTAATTGAAAAAGAGATTGAAGTCTTTATGGACGGTTTTTTTGTGTTTGAAACTTCATTTGAAACATGTCTAAATCATTTAGAGAAAGTTCTTGAATGATTTGAAAAGATGAATTTAGTGTTAAACTGGGAAATATTTCAATTCATAGCTGCAAGAGGAATTGTACTTGGGCCTAAAATTTTAGAAAATGGCATGGAAGTAGATCTTGCAAAAATACAGATTAAGTCTAACCTACCAACACCTACTATTGAAAGAGGAGTTATGATTTTTTTAGGACAAGCTGGATTTTACAGGCGATATATTAATTTTTTTTTCAAAAATTACAAAGCCGTTATGCCAACTTCTACAAAAGATACAAAATTTGATTCCAACCAAGCGTGCCTTAAAGCCTTTGAAACATTGAAGGAAAAATTGATCAATGCTTCTATAATTATTTCACTTAATAGGGAGAAACCTTTTAAACTAATGTGTGATGTAAGTGATTATGCAATTGGAGCTGTTTTAGTGCAAAGATATGAAAAAAAATTTAAAGTCATATATTATGCTAGTAATACTCTTAATGATGCTCAAATTAATTACAACATTACTAAAAGAGAGTTATTAGTCATTATTTATGATTTTGATAAGTTTAGCTCATATATAATTGAAGTTAAATGTGTTGTGCATACTGACCACCCGGCTATTAAATATGTGATGCAAAAGAATGATGTGAAACCAAGATTAATTAGATGGTACTTCTGATGCAAGAGTTTGATTTTGTGGAGTCGATAGGAAAAGGAATTGATGATCAAATTGTTGATCATCTATCGAGGCTAGAACAAGAAGAAATGGTGGATATGAAAAAATAGATTAATGAAACTTTAAAAATTTTCTTGATGAACAACTTTATATTGTTAAAGGATGGGAAATATCATGTTATAATGATATTGTGAACTATATTGTTAGTGGTATTTTACCATATGGATTGACAAAACAACAAGAAAAGAAATTCATTCACAATGCAAAATTTTACTTTTGGGATGACTCGTATTTATGCAAACAACGCAAAAATTTAGTTATGAGAAGATGTGTGTCTTATAAAGAAATCTAATAAATTATCCAAAATATCATGATTTTTAATTTAGAGGTCAATGATAGAACTGTATAGAGAGTAAGTAATATTTCAAAAAGAAATGAAATGTCTCTAATTTTTACTTTGGAAGTTGAAATTTTTTATGCTTGGGGATTGAATTTTATTGGAACATTTATACCTTCATTTGGAAATGTATTTATTTTGATTGCGGTGGATTATGTGTCAAAATAGATTGAAGCAATCACCTTAACTCAATGTGATGCTCGGAGTGTTTCAAAATTTTTAATCAAAAATATTTTTACAAGATGTAGAATACCTATAATAATAATCATT